TTTTTTCGCGAATTTGAACGATCTGAGAATACAGTTTTACTCAGAATTCGACGCTGATTCCGAATATGTATGACTCATTGCGTAATTTTTTGGGCACGAAACCTTACATTCTGCCACTTGTCCTTTTGAGATTTTTTACCGGTTTCAAACTACCGATTGCGGAATTACCGAAATTAAAAATATGAAGCTGGTACCGAAGCGTCGGTAACGGTAACACGTTTTTTACCGTTACCGCACATGTTTACTAAGAAGTTAGTGACCATCAACGAGTCAATAACGATTAATTAGTTTCTTAAGCTTCGACTAATGGCAGCTGACACTTAATTAGTGGTATGAAAATTTGTGGAAAACTCTAATCTGAAAGTAGAAAAAACGAAAAAGGTGAAGCTACTGGCAGGAATCGAACATTTGACTCAAAAATGTTCCAGAATCACGTACATAACCGTTCACCTGAAAAAGAAAAGAAGTCAAGCGTGACTCCTGTGGAAGTCCTACAGGAGTCCGTAACGGAATTTTCGCGTGACTTTTCAACGGGAGTCCCGTGGCACTTCTTGCAGGGCTCTCGACTAGGGTATGCACTTTAAAAGAAACATAAATAATTTTCTCATTTGTTGTATCAAACCATGTGTTACTCAAAGTTATAGAACAAAATTTTGGAAATTTTGTCTTTACTCCTCTCGTCTTCAAGCGTTTTTATCGAAATTACTCCTGAGGAGGGAACAAAAGGAAGTTTTTTGACATTTTTCATACTGATCATGAATATAACATTGACTTTACTTAAAAACTGATTCTTTACGGTTTAGATTTCAATTTAAGTTTAAGAATTTGCTGCTTTTTTGTGTTGTTCTCATTGTTAAGCTCTTTTCTCTAAGTTCACATGGAATTTACTCAATAAACTCTGCATATTATGAAAGTTGATAAGAGATATTTTGTAAAAGAATTGAAGTGAGAAAATTCTTCTCTCATTTTGCAAATTGACCAACATTGCAATCTCTGACACTGTTTTATACTCAAGTCAAAGTCGTTACTTAAAACTTTTTCTTACCAAATCCTTCGATAAATAAGTTTTATACGTATTTCAAAACCACTTTTAAAGTCTCTATTGCTTAAGGGCCCCCCCCCCCAGAAATTATCTCCGACACCGTACATCCGATCTTGACGAAACTTTCCATAAATGTTCGGCACAATGAGTTACGGGAATGAAAAAATTTTTTTGTCTTCGAGTCTTACGATTTAGGAGTTTTCCAGAGATCAAGGTCTAAAAAGGGCCCTGAAGTGCGTCCCAAGATTTTTTAATATACTTCAAACTGGAGAGTTCGAGTTTGTTTTATTTTAAATTAGACACCTGACTACATGGAAGGCTGATTAACTACGGCGCTGATTTTTCAATTAAGCCTTTATTGGTTTTCCCGGCAACCGACAACCTCCAAAAGCCGAAAAAGCCTTCCGGATTTTCTAAAAATCCTCAGTTTGACAAAAAATCAAGACCTAATTCAAAAGGTCAGTCCATGTGGTTTCTTTTCCCCTTTCAAACAAAAAAAGAATGAACTCTCTACGACAAACCGCTATTAAAAATCTTGCGACGCACTTCAGGTGTAACTCTTATATAGTGAAAACGCTGTGTGAAATACTCGACTTTAGGACTTCTAGGAAAATGCCTGTAACTTTTTGATGCAAGGTCATACAGAGTTGTGCGAGATCTTATTTTGATCAGAAACGTTTGTTCTAACAAAGCTGTGCTTTCAGAAAATTTTCAATTGCATGAGTATCCAGGAAAAAGCTATTATTTGAAGACTCATCTTTTCGAGGCTCTTAGAAAACTTGTTCAGAATCCCCGAAAAACCAGTTTTGTAATCAAAAGCAATACAGATTCTGGAAGTAGACACTTCAGGCTATCTTTCCATGTGCGTATTTCAAAACCGATTTTTTGATCGAAAATCACCATTTCTGAGGGGGGGGCTTAATGTCTAGTTTATTATAAACATGTTTCTTCTTCATTATGGAATTAATTAATTACGGTATGTGTAGTGATAATGAAGAAATCCAACTTCTAGTGGCTGCTCCTGCTATATTAATCATTTTATAACAAAAAGGAGAAGATAGATATAGGTACTATGATAATGTTTTTTCGTGTTATGCAAAAAAATTTGAGAAGTATTGATGGGCAGATTCTCGTAAGAAATGGTTACCCGTCCTGTGCACTACATCTTATTTTATCTGCAAATCTCTATATCTGGAAAATAGAATGACTTAGAATGAAACTAGAAAGATTAAAAGGTTTAAAACTCCTACCGCTTTTAAAACTTTCAAAGAGCGTCTGTACAGTAGAAGATAATAGTTTATGATCGTATAGACTTTAGACGAATATCAAACACTAGTTTTGTTCAAAAAGTCAACTTTCTTCTTTCTGAGTGAGCTCTTATTGATACCATGACTTAGTGACTATGTCGTTTGATGCAGACGTCAGAAAAATTGTATTTGGATTTTTGGCATCATCATGTCGTATAATAACCTTGGACAAGTTACTTATGTCTTGATGTCTGGATAGACATCTGCGTTTATATCCGTTGGCCACGAGCAAGAAACTTGTTCTGATGGACATGGATATAAGTACAAAAAAAGCGTGAGTATCTGGTTTCAGATCGTCTGTCCGACAGCATACTTATACGTTATGGCGTACACTGCAATTATCCAGTTTCTATGATTTTTTGGAATAACTAGTACAGGGACAGTAAGTGTGTTCTCTTCTTTCTTAATCATGTCTGTTCGTGATACTTTCAGTACTATTAAAAATGTTTTCTTGCAGATATCATCACCTTCCAAATGTGTATGAGTTATCTTTTTTTCTATCCCAAAATAAATTACTGTTAAAATTATCGCCAACATTAAATACAACGAAAGCTATCTATGCGAAAAATATTCATTTTCATTGTTGTATTTTCTTAATTTTCTATTATGTTTTTCCTATTTATTCATTTCTTCACTCTTTCATATGTTTTCCAAGTTCTCGTTCATATGGTTAGGCTAGAATAGTGCGTGTATATATGTGTACTTTCGGTGTGTTAGTGAGAGGAAGGATATGATCATTATACATCCCTATGAGATGTTTATGTTGTGTCAACCTTTCATTTATTCAAACATAAATTATCTTGTTTTGTTTTGACTGTTGTTTCCTTTTTCTCTCTTTTGGGTCATTCTTTTCCATGTCAAAATACGAAGGTAAATAGAAAAAAACGTCGCACACACTACAAAATATTCTCTCTCCTCTTACTTCTATTTATTATTATCTTCATAACATCTTTTTGTAAAGGTAAGCAGTTGCCAAATAGTCTTTGTTTTTAGACTCATTAAACTGTTATTAGTATTCTAGTTTAATTTGGCTTGAAATGAAAACTGAGAAAGAGAAAAAAAGATTTTTTTATTATAGTCGAGTGAATCGATTCGAGAAATTTTATTATTGCAGTGTAACATAATGCAGATAGATTAAACTATTCTAGCAAAATATCAGTGGTATTCATTTCCCTTAACACTTAAGGCAATGAGCATTATTAGACAGTTATCAATCAAATATATACTAGAAGCTATTTGATTTTTAAGCTTTTTTAACACGTTCACTGTCCGTCCACAATAAAACCTAAGACATCACCTATACGCCCTAAATCACATATGATACATATTTCAAACCTCCATATTTCACACGCTTCTGTTTTTGTTTTTGCGTACGTCTACAATAAAAAATCATATTTAGTCTAATTTTGCAAATGTATCATATGTGTTACATGAACTCCATGGTGGAAAATTAAATGAATCATATATGATACATGGACAGTGAATGTGTTAAACTACGAAATAACATGGTTCTCATACACAAAAATCATTCTTAGGATACTCAAACAAAACTCTACTCAATTTTCACATAACTGATAGACTCTTAGTGAACTTAAATTGTAGAATTGACATCAAGTTTAATCCTTCAGAATATAAGTCCATTCTAAATCGTCAGCTATCAAAAGTCATACAATCAATTTTGTACACATAAGGAACATACGAAACGTATTTTTGTAGTGCATATATTATCTATGATGTACTGTGCAAACAAAAAATCGGATCCTATGGCAACAACAACCGTTCCATCATCATCTTTTGCATCTACTACAGTAATATCAATACCTTCACCAAACGCCATTCTAAAATCAAAAAATTATAATTTGAATTCAAATGATTTAAACAAATACGTATCGGAACAACAATCAAAAGCGCGTGATATTGTCAACGGTTTACTTCGTAAAGGTATTAAATTGTTAGCGATTGATTTTGATAAAACATTTTTATCCATTCACACAATGGGTTGTTATCAAGGGCAAGTAGAAAAATTATTAGAATATATTCGTTCAACATTTTATTATTTAATCCAAGAACTATTAGATAGACCCGCTTATTCTCAAATATTGCATGTATGTATTGTTTCATTTTCATCACAGGATTATTTAATTAAACAGTTACTACAATTAGCATTCAAAACATCGTAAGTAATTTCGTATATGTTGGATTATTCAGGAGTGTTTAGGAGCCTATCGAACAGAGTCTTCAACAGGAATCGATTATCTCTAATAGGAAACGCCCTATCGAACTGCAAATGTTTTATTTGATCAATCTTTTTCGCTTTAAAGTACATTGTAGAAATTGTATTTAAAAAAAATTGATTCTATCTATATTAGAACACTTATTATCGGCACGAATCATTAGTACAGTTGTATACCGTTTAAAACACCTAAGGATGTATTTTGACTGGTGTACTGACTACTTTAAACTATAAAATAATTCTTTTTTTTTGTCTCTCTGTCTTAGTAAAACGGATCAAATTCTAATCCGTTGTAATACAAATGAATTTATGTCTTCCATGGGTACAGATGGTCAAGATGGTTTATGTTTTCTTGGCAAAGAATATCATATTACATCGGTTGTTACTGAAATAGCCACAAAACGTCATAAAACGATACAACCGCATGAAGTTCTTTTGCTAGATGATGATATAACAAACATTTTGATAGCCGACGGATTTGGTCATAAAACTTTAGAAATTAGAGACCAAATCAATTTAGATATTTTAAAGGATTTTGTTAATAATTATTTATAATAATTATATCCAATGTATATGATCATTTGAATTGTATTATGTATCTTTGCTTGTGAGACATGAGCTTGTTGTGAAGATTGGTTTTCTTTTTAAGCGCTCTTGCTCGCATACAGTGAAACTTTAATTTTTTAAAAATTGAATTTATTATAATTAAATAATTTTCACCGTTTCAACGTGATCTTTTTTCCACGATATCATGCTGTAAACGAAGTAAAAACAATTCTTTTTATATTATATATATTTTGCACTAGAGATCTGAAAGGATTTAGAGAATAGAAACTGACCCCAACCCTACACTAAAGCACAAAATGTAATCTGAAGAAAAAATCAAAGCTATAAAAACTTAGAACAAAAGCTTTCTTTATACTGATCCACAAATTCAAATGGTGCAAATCTGTACCAAAAAATATCTCTACAAATCAATAAACAGTGCTTAGGTGTTTTAAAAAGATTATCTAGAAGTCTTTCGAAGAAAGAGAATGTTTGTTACTAATCTGTATATACTCTATTTTACCTGTTCAACCTAATTCTGTATCTAAACTTGAATTTTACTTAGTTTTTGACGTTTTTTCAAAAAATGAGAGTGGTCTCTCACTTTCGAATACATACTCTTGGGTCTGTTCTCGATTTCAAAGACATCTTGATACTAGTCAAGGTTCACTTTTACACGTCGGTAAGGACGAGTATGATCGACTTGAATTTGCTAACGAGACATGTGTCTTATTCGTTTACTTCAAAATGACGGATAAGGATAGAAGCTCCTTAATCTAGTGAAAATATGTCATGGAAAAGTGATGGTTTTTTTAAAGTGAGTTTTTGACGTTTTTTCAAAAAATGTACTTTTCCACGAGAGTCAGCGTGCTCGATAACAGATGGTTTATCAGTTTTCAACGTTATCAGGAATCAGAGAAAAGCAGTCCTGGGAGAGGGCGAATCTAACGACATGCCCAAACCATAGTAGATCAATATCCGGATGATTTCCATCGTTTACAGAACAGTTTAGACTGTTAATTCATGAAAGAAAACGAAAAGGCTTGCATACCAATTTTCGAAATATTTATCTGGTTTTCTAAAGATTCCTTTAAATACTAAACTTCGCGAAGAATTTAAAAAAATATTATGTACAACCACATGGTTCGGCTTTGGTTATGACGAAAACTTCAGATTGCTAAAAATTATTCATATAGGCAAATGGGTTTCATTGTTCTTGTTATATTTATCTAATATGTATATATAAAAATCATATAATTTGCTGCTTGAAACTTTTTATGAGTAGATGACATCAAACTTTGACAGAACATTTTACAATAAAAATCTCGGATTTCTGAAAAAAAGTTATTCTCACCTGTAGTCCTATTACCAAAAAAACATGTGTCTCTACAATTTTAGTTAAAGTACATCGTCGATCATATCTGAATTAGGTGATTGCCTTCGACTCTCAAGTGTTTCTTGCGATACACGGAATATACGTTCAGATGCTACTGAGCTCGTTCGTATACCAAAGAGACTGTTTGACAGAAGATAAAAGAACATATTTTGCTAATGGAAAGGGAACCTTTCGATCGGCGGGAGAATGCTCGTCACTTGTTTCTAACAGAAAAAATCCAAATACAGTCACGATGATCAATTTTTTGAATGATTCTCCCTATTATGATTCTCTCTGTCTATATTGATAGATATATCTTGTTACAAGCACAGTGTGTGCTCAAGTACGGCTTCTTGTGTAATCGATGCTTACAAATCTGACTGCGCAGCTTTCGATACTTACTGTTTTGTAAGATTAGATCCTTGCTATTCTATTGATATGAAGTGCGTTTTGTTTGGTCATCCTATACAAAAACGATATGCTCTTTGAATAAGGCGAACGTGGCTGCGGTATGGTATGTTAAGTCTCTTCTCCAATCTCTATCTATCACCTTGTTCATCTTTATAGTTGACAGCATCAATTGTAATGCCAGTGCACTCATTCCTCGGCGTTATTGTTGTAATACTCTAAAAAAAAAGGCATAGTATGAAACGTAAAAGGTTCCGTGGAGCTTTTCCAAATCAGGTATGGTACGGTACGTATCTGCGAAACCTCATTAAGGTTTAGTAATCGAAGGGGTTTCGTATGATACCTTTCAAGATTTTGTATCATACTCTTCAACGTTTCATATTCGAACAGCTTTCATAACACACCTTTTGAAGGTATAGTAGTAGAAAGCGTTTCGTACGATACCTCCTCTGTGCTACTCTCATACGAAAGGGTACTTGTTTTTTGTTCGCAGCCAGGATGACTGAAAATGTTGTGAACTTCTCTGATTTCGTGGGAAAAGCGCCCAATGTAATTAAAGCTAGAAAGTTTTGTGGATACCCACTGAAGACCCCAAGGGAACTGGAAGCATGCTATATTCTGTAAGTTTTATTATCCGTAGATGACTTTTTTGTGTTATCAAAACTGACTGATCTTTTTTTGCCCTCTCTCTTCTTTATGCCTCTGGTAAGGTGATACGTTTTTAAAGTATGCGAAGTCAGCCAATTTTTTGATAATATTTTCTTTTACTGTATTTAGGCAATCCATATTTACGCGTATTTTTATTAGAAGATGATTTTATTCTCAAACGGTAAGTTTTGTGCGTAAGTGGCTTTTCTTTGTTGACACTTGCATTTTTTCGGTTGTTTTTGTTTGCTAGGTAGTAGAAATAAATAAATTTAAGACAAATATACAGCTAGAATGCAATTGCGCTGTGCACAGGTTGCGATGTCGACAGACTCTGTCTCTGATTGAACCTACCGCCCCAAGCAGATCTTACTAGTAGGCTGTGACCGATCATTGCATTTTTGCTTTGATTTACTCAGTATATATATATATATATATGAGGAACCAACAGTTTTTATTCGAAACTTGAAGAAAAGAAAAATTATTTAGAGACCTGGCTGTTGACTAGAGTCTTTTGCCAGAAAATCAAAAACACCTAAGTACATGAACTAGAGTTAGCCTAT